TGTCAGGCCGTATTTATTAATTTTCTCTGGGAAAATAAGTGTCCCTATGTCAAATTGTCCAAAGGTTGAGGTGTCTGCATGTGGGGGTCTCACTGTAATTGGTGCATCAAGAGTGTACCTAAGTTTAATTGTCCATAAGTTGAGTCTTGTTTTCCCATAGACTTACATTATATAATTTTAATTGGTGTTTAATGGAAGAATTATTCTTTAGAATTCCATAAAAAAAATTGTTTTGCCACTTGAATTTGATTCAGTGAATACAGTACTGTATAATAATGCGTGATGGAATCAAGCATCATTTACAGTATCCCAATACCGAGCGTGTTAGTAAACAAAACAGTGCTCTTTTCAATACAGTTTTTTTTTTCACGGTTGAGCTACAGTATATTAAAGGCTTACAATTTCTATGAAACCCGAAAGGCCTTGATGCAGTTTCCAGTAGAGCTTCATTTCCTGCCGTTGCGAAATTCGTCCTGGACGCAAAGGATCCAATTTCATCTTTATTTTGTGCTTGATTCTGTATCATCAGATGCGTCGGGGCAATTGAGAGTCGAGTCACGGTCACCGGTTGTGCATAGTGGAAGTGGGCAGCAGAATCGATTCGATTCCCAAGTGTCTCAGAATTTCCGATTTCCTTCTCAAGTGGCTTCTTCCAGTGGAATTCCGTTTTCTTCGTGAGTATATAATCCTGGATCGTTGCGAAAGACATCATTACATGCATTGTACAAGTACTGTACGTGGATAGATAAGTAAAACAAGGTTTATTTTCCACTTTTCAGGGTTCACAAGGTTTAATCATTGCAAATGTATAGTATATCCTGTACTGTACGTAAGATTTTACTGCGATTACTATATGAAGTATAGTTGAGAACTTCTGAAGGATCACTATTGTCGCTAAGGTTTTAAATTATGTTGCTAGGTGAGCGAGTATCATTAAATTGTTTAAAATGCCTCGAGCGAATCATACGGGATTACGGTATTTTGAGAAAATATGGTTTTCTTGCATCTACCTTTTTGCCAAAAAATAATTGGTTTGAGCTGATTATGAAGTGGAATCTTTTTTATGTAATACTGTATATTCAGAGGGAAAAAGTAAGAAAATTTAATGAATTTAAATTAGAAAGTATTTTCAACCTTTTGGGGGAGAATATTATGCTATTTATATTGAGTTTTCGACGAGTCAGATGACTGATAAAAATTTGATTATACTGTATATAAGTGAGAGGAATATGTGACGAATTTTGCCTAATCCGAGAAAAAACTTACTTATGAGACATTTTTGCCTGCAGCTTATTGCGAAGTTTATTTTTGAAACTTACCTATATTTCAGTGAAATATTTCGGCTGTTGGGACCGGAAGAAAAGCTTCGTTGAAACCATAAATCCGTTGTAAAACGATTTTTTTAAACGCATCACATTTGATTACAGCAAACTATCGTGGAGACGTCAGAAAAAGTTCGTCAAGACGAGTAATTTGTTATAACAAGATTTTCAAAATTATTGACGGGGAAGTCAATTGATTGATATGCAGGTCCTAATTAAACCTGCATATATTCAATATATTCCTTTTCTGGCCTTTTCAGATATTTTTCCATGTTTAAAAAAGCTGTGATCTTGAAAAAAATTCAAATGTGAATGTCAAACATTTAATCTGAATAGTGAAGCATTATTCATATAAAATTATACCCCCAGATGCGGACATAATTGGTGCATCAAGAGTGTCCCTAAGTTTTCTTGTTTTCCCATGGACTAACATTATATAATTTTTAATTGTTGTTTTATGGAAAAAATATTCCTCAGAATTCCATGGAAAAAAAATTTGTTTGCCACATGAATTTGATTCAGTGAATATCTGTTCAACCCAATAAGAACATTGGAGCATTGAATAGTATACTGCTGTACAGTTCAGTGAAATGTTGGCACCTGTAAAAATAACCTCCAAGTCACAAAGAGAGAAGTAAGTCCATCTGTGCTATATGTAATTTTTTTAAATTAGCTGAACGGATGGGAAAGTGATGGGAAAAGTATCAAAGAATTTTTCTTGTATAGATCTTAGGGTTGGAAATAACTGTTTCTTGCAATTAAGCCTGATAAAAGTCAATTTTCCTAAAATTTTTTGGCAATTTTTTTCATGCAATGTCCTCATGTCGAGTCATTGTCCACATGCTGGGCCTTTTTTATGATTTTTTTTATTGAAAAAATGAATCTCTATGTCAAATTGTCCCCATGTCAATGAGGTGTTTGCATGTGGGGGTCTCACTGTACAGTACGGTATAAACTTTGTTGCCATGCAACCAATATCAACTCATTATATAATGAGATTCAAATTGTACTAGTATTATTAGACAATAAATTCGGTTAATTAAGAAATCACTGCATTTCTATACCCTGTAGAAAACGATTACTGTATCATTCGAGTTTATGGCTTGTTCTGAAGGAGACAAGAAAGCTTCGACTTGTGCAATCCGAGTCCCTGCGGAGCTAACACGAATTGCCGCGTGAATGGCAATCGGGCCGTTTGCTCTTGTCAGTTCGGATACTACGGCAACCCGGAAACGTCGTGTATCAAAGGGGAATGTTTAGGTGAGTGAGTATGAGATCCTCGATCCTCATCCTTATTGGTCTGATGCTGCCCAGCATCATCCCTGCGTTATTGTTGCATCATTGTTTTTCGAAGAAAATGCTTTGTATTCTTTGGTCTATACAGTATATTGCCCCATCACGTGTTAATGTTGTACATACCGTATATTTATATGGGTGTGTGTGTGTGTGTGTGTGTGTGTGTGTAGATTCCAACGATTGCTCAGACAGCAGAGCCTGTCGAGACTATAGATGTGAGGACCCGTGCCCCGGGGTTTGTGGAGTGGATGCGGAATGCGTGTCGCGGAGACATATTCCGGTTTGTCAATGTCCATCTGGGTTCACTGGTGATCCTTTCCGGCAATGTCGGCGAATTTCCGCAGGTAATTTTTTTTAATTTGTTTTACGTTATGTTCATTCTTCCAGTTTGATCTGCGGCAATACTGTGTTTACATTGGGGCCCCGAGATGTGGACGCAATTTCATGCTTTGGATGTCGGGGCATCCGGGTGTTGGATCACGTTTTCTCAAAGACTTCGATGGGAACATATTTGATTGATGCTCCTGTTTGTGAAAAATCAGGAGTGAAGTCCTCAAAAAATTGAATAAATTTTGTTTCTCAACTTCAAGATGCAGAAAATGGCTGCGTAAGATTAAAAAGACTCATAATCTGATCCGCTGGGATCATCAGAAGGAGCTCTATGAAGTAGCAAAAAGCTGGAACAAGTCTAGCTATATACTGTGCACACATGATGAGAAACAACCCCGCTACAATTAACCTACAATAATTAGCCTAATTAATGAATATTAGAGTAATTTTACGAAGAAATGTATTTTTAATTTTTCGTGAGCATTTATAATACTGTAGCTCAATTTCTTCATGAGATATCAAAATGTAGAAAAATACTGTACTATTTTTAATTTTGTTTAGAAATTTCGGGAAAGTGTCCGTATCTCTAGGCATTGTTTCAACGTCGGGAAAGATTTCTAAAGTTTTCAGCGTCCTTAAGACGAATCGTCTGTATGTGTCTACTGGACATCCGAGTAAAGTAATGGGAATATGAAGCAAAAAAACATGAATATCACAGCAGGTGAAACCCTGAATGGATGAGTCAGAAAGCGGAAACTTGAATTTCATATGCATTGAATGATTTAGCAATTTTTCGTACTCAGACTTTTTGACAGTTTATTGCAATTGAAAGAAAGGGAAATGTTGTGGTTGGGGATGAAGTTAAAATTCGAATTCTCATTGACATCGCAATTCATCGGATATATGATGTGTCCGTCTTTATTCGGTTCAGTATGGTACTGTACTGCCCTTGCACTCCATTATTTGTTTCTGAGCAGTTTTTTCGTTGAATAATTCTTCTGTCGCCTTCAATTTCAAGGTTGTTTTCATATTTGTATGTGTTGGTCGACGCTGTTTTTTTTATCATTTTTCAATAGTGAGTGGATTCACTGCTGTAAATTTTCAATCAAATTTTCAAAAGTGGTGGTGATTCGCAGTGTTCCAGATCATCGTTCGGTCTTTATGCAAGGAAATAGAAAAAAAAAAACAGAAATTTATCTGTACCTTGACCGAGTTTTTGAGAACGCTGTACGTGAACTGTATTTTAGTATTCCAAGTTCAAAATAGGGGCTCAATATTTTGGTGCTGGAGCCCCACTGGACTTTCAGGGCATTGCATAATCTTGAATACGTTACATCGCGCATGTGAGCGAATGATGAAATATTCATATGCTTCCCTTATATGCACATTGTGGCATGTTTCTTCCTTTCGCGTATGTATAGAGGAGCTGTGCAATCCATCCCCATGTGGATCGAATACACAATGTCAAGCCAAGAACCTCAGAGCTGTGTGTTCGTGCAAACCTGGCTTCTTTGGAAATCCATTGGTGGGATGTCGGTGAGAATATATATATTTGGATATATGCCTCAACTTGCCGTGGAATCTTGCTGATGTCTTTTTTTTTTAATTCAGTCGCGTGCCTTGTTAGTAGGGAATTCTTTGAATTATGATCATTTTTGTTTTCGTTTTATAACATCTTTTTTATTATTATTTGCGATTGCCTGGATTTTTCATCTTCTGTTGAGTTCTGGAACTTAATATTCTGAAGTTTATTTTGGTGACTTTGGGTTGTTAATTTAGGCGAGTTTATATACGTTAATTCGGATTGTTCTAAGTTGCTTCAATTTTAATGCGGTTGATGCAGGTCAAGTGATTAGCGCAGGTTATGAGTTAAATCAGGTTCAAGTAGAGTAATTTTTCGGATTAGAAATTTCGAAGACCTGCGGGAAATAAAAAAAAAAATTTGGGCGTTGAAGCTGAAATATTCTTGATGTGTACATAGGAATTAAAATAAGTGTCGGTGTTGTTTTAAATTTTTCAGCGCGGAGTGTGAGTCAGATTTTGACTGTGGATTGCAAGACGTTTGCCGAGACTTCAAGTGCGTTAACCCTTGCATTAATTCTTGCGGGGAGAACGCGTTATGCAATGTCATCAATCGGGTTCCGACCTGCAGCTGCCCTCAAGGTACAGTTATGCGAGCCTTGATAATTCGAACCTTACTCAGTCGGATTTTTTTCAAGTTTTCCTGTCTGAAGTCCCTTAGAAACTATATAAAATGCATTAAAAATGTCCCCAACTCATCCGGGGCTTTCCTCCTCAAACATCCATATTGACTCGAATTTTCTGGAGGTCTTTTGGCTATTTGTTTTTATTTTAGAAAAGCAATATAAACGTAAATTTGTGCGTTTTGAAAGGAAGTGAAAGAATAATTGGCCAAATAACCCCTTTGCTTCTTAGTTTAGCATTCTGTAAACTCTTGTAAGAAGCCATTTAAGGCATAAAATATCACCTTTTATAATTCCTGCAATTCTTTTTATTCTCCGCAAACACTGCATGCAAACGCCCCTTTTTTATAACTCAAGATTTCTCTAATGAAAATTTATGCTGATCCCTTTAAATTCGACTGAAATTTCATTTTTTGGCCAGAATCGGAGTGAAACTTTTTTCGACTTCTACCGTCATCAGTATAATTGATGGTTCTGAAAAGAAAAAAAAACTGCTTCACTGTCTTGATTATTTTTCTTTCGTTCTTTTTTTAGACTACCTGGGGAATCCGCAAGTTCGTTGTTTCCCCGAGTGCACGAAACACGCGGAATGCCCTTCAAACAGGGCCTGCTCAAGGTTCAAGTGCGTTGACCCCTGCGCGGGAACCTGTGGAATAGAAGCCCAGTGTCGGGTTGACGACCACACTGCCATTTGTTCCTGTCCCACCGGCTACACCGGCGATCCATTCACGCAATGTCGGCGATTCGACCCTCGTATGTTTTTTTTTTCTTTCTTCTTTGTTCCGCTGATCTCTTTCTTTTACGCGAGTATATATCCCATTGCTTATTATGAAAAGCCCTGGTCTAGAATATTACTGTATATATACATCGTGGACTCTCGCTCTCTCATCTATGACGAAATTAAAGAGACCAGAAAATCTCGTTGTGATCGAAGATAATTTCATCGATTAAGCTCCTCATTATTTAAGCTATTTTTTCTCTTCGTCATGTGCCTTGAATTGGCGAGTAAAATTGAAATATGGTGTTATATTGATGAGCAAGAACTGATACAGTCCTCGCAAAAGTTTGGTAGGAAATCTGTTTTGTCTGGACTCTAGAATGACTCGCGCATAGAATAACTGTAGCGACATCTGTACGCAAAGCCGTTAGCTCAGCGTGTGCACTATTAAAAAGCTAGGAAGCCCACTGAGAATCATGAATGAACGTACAGGAAAAGGGAAATAGGTGTTTTACTGTCGAAATCTCTTCAAGCCAAACTTCGAGACCAGCGAGAAACATTCAAATGCGGGAAACAAACATTTAGGGAAAAGTAAGAAAAAATACGGGAAGTATTAATTTGTGATATTTTTATCTTGGCCCGAAATTGCTTCCTGATTGAGTTGACAGGATATCCTGAATTTTGAAGGCAAGGGTTTACTTGCCCCATATGAGTCCTTCACTCCCTTTCAAAATGTACCAAGTTGCTTTTATTTTATGCTGGATTTCCCCTCTCCTGTGTGCATAAAATGATAGCCAAAAGGCTTCCAGAAAATTCGTCGTAAATTTGGACAGTTTTTAATGCTTTTTTTTTGCTATGGAAACCAGACAGAGACTTGAAAAAATAATTCGACTCGGGGAGGTTTGAGTTATCGATGTTCAACCGTACATGTAAATGATCCTTGAACGCTTGTTTCGTCAATACTTTTCAAATTCAAACGGCTTTCCAAAAGGAGGTTCGAGCAATTTTTTTTCTTTATTTTCATTTCCTTCATCACGGTGCTCTGAACTCTGAATATGTATAGTAAGTAGGACAGTGATAAATTTTTTTTATTGATGTTTCAGGAGAATTGTGCTTCCCAAGTCCGTGTGGGTCAGGTGCTGAATGTAGACCAGGAAAAGACAACGAAGGCAAGGACAGAGCTGTTTGCTCGTGTCCCAGCGGGTACATTGGGGATCCATTCGTTTCCTGTCGTCGTGGAGAATGCATTTCGCACAACGAATGTCCCGGCAACAAGGCCTGCTTCAATTATAAGTAAATAATCTCTCTCTATTGTTCCTTTTCCAGCTTGTTGAAAGATACGAAAACTTTGAATTTCCTATGTTTCATAAATGCATTCATTGTGGTGTATGATTGGGGTTTCATATTCGAAATGGAGGTTTATATATAGAGTATTGTATATTTTAGATACACATTTAGAGATTACGGTAATAACCAGAAGTAATTTGTGTCGCAAAAGGGTTTTCGTTTACCTAATCTTTAATTATTCCGTGGTGCGTTCTTAATTATGTCATGAGCTCAACAATTGGATGAAATTGATTGTGTGAAAATAATCGTGCGTCGGTGAAAAGATCGACGAAAAATAAACAGTGACTTATTCAGGCAGCACTTCTGAGCGACTCTACCTAATATATAAAAACATACTGTGTACTGCTGTTCATGAATTTGAGTCCATTATATGTATTCTTGGAAACGATGCGATTTTATGACTCAATTGGCACTGATTTGATTGGGATCAAAATTGTGTCCTGCTTAGGAAAATTGTCGTTATACACATTCCTGTAATTGCTTCTTGAAGAGGGTTAACGGGGGTATTTATTAGAAAAATCTGTTTGGGTTCCGCAGAGCTTTTTCCTTTTTTTTTTTACCATTTCTCCATTTCTGGGGTTCAAATCAGTGCAGTGTAATAATACTTCAAGTTGACACAAGATTCGTCAAGTTTTTTCTTTCTCGGGATGATCGGAAGAAAACAGAAATTCTAGTATCAATAAGATCGCTCAGCAAAAAATAAATAAAAACTTTTCTCAACCTTTTTCTCACGTTCTTTGCTTGTACACAACATTATTCAACCGTATCCCTCGGAATCATGTGTAAAATTTCCATTTTATGTTGAAGGGTTGAAAATAAAGTGTACATTTTAATACAGTATTGTTTTCAATTTGCAGCTGCCAGGATCCCTGTGCCCAAGGAGCGTGTGGCATAAACGCCGACTGTAATGCGAGGAACCACGCAGCAGTCTGTTCTTGTCCGACGGGTTTCACCGGGGACCCACTGACGCAATGCACTGAACGACGACAAAGAAACGCACCGGGAGTGAAATTTTAAACGAAATTCGTGCTCAGGATTTAATTTCTAATGCTTTTTTTGGTTAATGTCTCAATGAGTATCTCAAGACCATTTTTGCTGGCCGAAGAAAAGATACGCGGAGTACAGTACATATAAAGTGACTGCGGATATGGTGAAAATCTGAGTCAGCTGCATTAAATGTGCTGGTGTTGATTGTACGAATTTATTTTGTTTCGTGTGTGTGTGTGTATGCGTGTGGAAATCGACGATGATCGACAAGAGATTCATTTTTGAGTGATGATGATTATGGATATTTCTGGGAATCTGACTTAAAATTTCGTGGTGTAATAAGATTGCAAAAAACTTACGTCGATGAATCGAACAAGAGCCTGATCTATGATGTGAACGTTTTTGTGTCATGTGGTATGCTTGTAAATGTGAGTGATCAAAGTATAGAAGGTGCTATAGAATGAAAATGAATAAGATCAGCATTGTTGTGGTTGATTCTTTCATTCAGCCCTGCTACATGTGAGTTGCCCGTAAATATACTGTACTAGTGTACTGTATATTTTTGAACGTTCGTGACTTATACTGTATATGCATTATTGTATTGTACTGTATATAGAAAGGATTTGTTAGTTTGATCCTGTATTTAATTGAGTGTAAAGCACCAAGTAAGATGTGTACCTGAATTTTTCAATCTAAAATTCAGACGGAAATGTATTCTCAAGTAATATGGCTTGAGCACCCGTGCCATTTCCAGAAACTGAAAATTTTAATATTAATCTTGAAGGTAAAGTGTATCAAATTAAATGCAATATTGACTTGAATTTCAATCAAATTTATTGATGATTTGAACAGTTTTCATTTTTGAATGGTACAATTAATTCTTGCTTGTAGACTGCTGACTTTTTCCCTTATTATATGGGCATGGTTCAAAAATATGGATCAGTACAGTATAGTGATTTTAGTGACTCGCGTTCCCGCGTAGGCTCACTGAGCTGTGACGCAGCTCTTATGTTTTTGTCAGCTTACTTAAAGATGGCGGCCCTAATTTGATTGTGCGGTGTAAGTCAGCGTCGTCTTCTACAAGTTGGCATTGAGCAACGTCTTTTTTCAGGTGATTCTGGTTACTGCAGTTATTAAAGTCTTTGTGGGTTTCTCATTGTGCAAGAAGGTTGTATTTTATGTCTATGTTCGTGTACACTGTGGTCATCCCTTTGTTCGCTTACGAATTTAGTATTGCGAAATTGCTCGGAAAGTCCTCGAGTTTGTTCAAAAGAACAAGTTTTTTCCAGACTTTCCTGGGATGCGAACCGCGAACTTGGTGGCCGATGACGCGAGAGTGGTTTCATGGAAATATTTCTCGCGAAGAAGCCGAACGCCTCTTGGTTCCACGACAAGATGGGCTGTTTTTGGTGCGAGAGTCCAACAACTTCCCTGGAGATTATACCCTTTGTGTTAGTTTTGAGGGCGAAATCCAATACTACAGAGTTGAAATCGTAGATGAAAAACTGACAATTGACAACATCGACTTTTTTGACGATTTGGAAAGCCTTATCGAACACTACCAGCGTGATGCCGACGGACTTTGCACCAAGCTCCGGAAATGTGTTCAGAAGGCGGATAATCTCCAAGCTTTCTATGATGAGGGACTTATTATCGAACCCACCGAAATCAGCTTCGGTGAAGCGATCGGAAAAGGAGAATTTGGAGATGTTCTGCTTGGAACCCTGAAGAAAGACGGCCGTCGAGTTGCGGTAAAAACGAAGAAAGATCCTGCACGAGCTGCTCAAGAATTCTTGATGGAAGCATCTGTGATGAAGTAAGTTCCCTGTGGAGTGCTGCTTAATTTCAAACGTTTTTCATGAGTGTGGCATTCACAGATCTTTGAAGCACAAGAATCTCGTACAATTGATCGGAATAGTAGTGAAAACGAAGCCGAATACTGGATCTGCTGTGCGACTGAACAATGATCCGGGTGCGATATCCCTGGTTTTTGAGTACATGTCGAAGGGGAGCTTAGTAGACTATTTGCGATCACGTGGAAGACAGCACATCACGAAGATGGTTCAAATTGATTTTGCTTGTGATACATGCGAAGGTATGAAATACCTTGAATCCATGAAAGTTGTTCATCGTGACTTGGCTGCCAGAAATGTCCTGATCAATGAATCCAACGTTGCCAAAGTATCCGACTTCGGACTTGCTCAATGGGAGCATAGTAAAGCCGATGCTAATTCTTCAGTGTCTTCCAAATTACCCATTAAGTGGACAGCTCCGGAGGCGCTTAAAAATTCCGTATGTCATGTAATGAAATTTTTTCGTGCTGAATGCGTATGTTATATGTTAGTAAAGCCGATGCTAATTCTTCAGTGTCTTCCAAATTACCCATTAAGTGGACAGCTCCGGAGGCGCTTAAAAATTCCGTATGTCATGTAATGAAATTTTTTCGTGCTGAATGCGTATGTTATATGTTGATATTCGTGTGTTTATTCAGAAATTTTCGAACAAATCCGATATGTGGAGCTTCGGCGTCCTTCTGTGGGAAATATATTCCTACGGTCGGGTTCCGTATCCACGCATACCGGTTGACGATATCGTCAAGCAAGTGACTGAAGCTGATTATCGTATGTCTCCACCAGAGGGGTGTCCTCCAGAAATTGCGCGAATCATGCAGTTGGTAAGAAGTAATTAATTCATGTATGTAATGTTGTATTCCTCCGTCCTCTTCGGCATTACAAAATGAAGCAAAAGGCGGGAAATAATGTTCATGGGGAGCAAACATTCTGAATACTGATATTTTCGAATGTTTAGTGTGAGGAAGAGTTCGGCAACGTTTTCCCGCGTGGCTGTTTTTTATACAGTATATTACTCCAAGACATGAATTGACGTAGAAGTTTAATTTCGTGCGGAAAAATGAAGTTAATTTTTTTTTTTCTCCTCTTGTCGTTTTAATTTTTTCTAGTCTTTTAGAGAAATTTGAACTCTTTATTTATAAACTACCGCATTATCCGCATTGTTATGTTCGTCGACAAAAATATTTTCAGTTTGACTTCGCGTCTTCGTTCATTCAGAAACTTCTACAGACTGATGAATTCTTCTTTCACAGGCATGGAGCAAAAATCCAGAAAGTCGTCCAAATTTTGCAGATACAATCAAGAAGCTCAATNGTAAAAACGAAGAAAGATCCTGCACGAGCTGCTCAAGAATTCTTGATGGAAGCATCTGTGATGAAGTAAGTTCCCTGTGGAGTGCTGCTTAATTTCAAACGTTTTTCATGAGTGTGGCATTCACAGATCTTTGAAGCACAAGAATCTCGTACAATTGATCGGAATAGTAGTGAAAACGAAGCCGAATACTGGATCTGCTGTGCGACTGAACAATGATCCGGGTGCGATATCCCTGGTTTTTGAGTACATGTCGAAGGGGAGCTTAGTAGACTATTTGCGATCACGTGGAAGACAGCACATCACGAAGATGGTTCAAATTGATTTTGCTTGTGATACATGCGAAGGTATGAAATACCTTGAATCCATGAAAGTTGTTCATCGTGACTTGGCTGCCAGAAATGTCCTGATCAATGAATCCAACGTTGCCAAAGTATCCGACTTCGGACTTGCTCAATGGGAGCATAGTAAAGCCGATGCTAATTCTTCAGTGTCTTCCAAATTACCCATTAAGTGGACAGCTCCGGAGGCGCTTAAAAATTCCGTATGTCATGTAATGAAATTTTTTCGTGCTGAATGCGTATGTTATATGGTGATATTCGTGTGTTTATTCAGAAATTTTCGAACAAATCCGATATGTGGAGCTTCGGCGTCCTTCTGTGGGAAATATATTCCTACGGTCGGGTTCCGTATCCACGCATACCGGTCGACGATATCGTCAAGCAAGTGACTGAAGCTGATTATCGTATGTCTCCACCAGAGGGGTGTCCTCCAGAAATTGCGCGAATCATGCAGTTGGTAAGAAGTAATTAATTCATGTGTGTAATGCTGTATTCCTCCGTCCTCTTCGACATTACAAAATGAAGCAAAAGGCGGGAAAGAATTTTTTATGGGGAGCAAACATTCTGAAAACTGATATTTTCGAATGTTTACTGTGAGGAAGAGTTCGGCAACGTTTTCACGCGTGGCTGTTTTTTATATAGTATTACTCCAAGACATAAATTGACGTAGAAGTTTAATTTCGTGCGGAAAAATGAAGTTGAGCGTGTTTTTTTTTTATCCTCTTGTTTTAATTTTTTCTAGTCTTTTAGAAAAATTTGAACTCTTATTTACAATCTACCGCATAATCCGCCTTGTTATGTCCGCCGACAAAAATATGTTCAGTTTGACTTCGCGTCTTCGTTCATTCAGAAACTTCTACAGACTGATGAATTCTTCTTTCACAGGCATGGAGCAAAAATCCAGAAAGTCGTCCAAATTTTGCAGATACAATCAAGAAGCTCAATGGTATTCGGAAATTGGAGCGATCAAGATCGGGAACTGAGAGTCGAGAAGTTGTAGCATGAATATGAGGATTTTTTTTTTGCGTAAATGTCCCAACAGAAACAATCCCATCGAGGTATTGTGTATTTATACGTATTTTTGAACTTATCGTTCAGTGAGAGTTGAGTTTACATGAGCTTTTTGTGCTTATTCGCGAGATCATTCCTGAATGTGAGACACATTTGCGTTTTTCTTGCCGGGATGGCCCTCGAAACGTGTTGAAGTGATTTACGTGTACCAAAGGCGCGCAGGAATATACTTAAGTTTTGATTCGACTATCTGACGTCGGTATCCGAAATTCTATTACTCATTATTTTTGACGAATCCATGACCAATGTAGTTTTCATTCTTCATTATTGTTTGAAATCCGTGTCGTGTTCAAAAAGTCGTGGCTTTTGTCCTGATTTAGTGGCTATTGTTAGCTATTGCATCGCCTAATGTATTTTTGGCGTCAAGTGTGCGATTTTCAATGGCAGAATGAAAAATTAAAATGAAAGATAAAGGATAGGAAGTGTTTTATATGTCTCTGACTCCTCTTTTATTGATCGAAAAAATTTTCATTCGACAGGTCGACTATTGGCGATGAATGTGAATAAAGACTACGAATTCAAGTGGAAAGACCATTTGAGCCACTTGTTCGCGATCGTGCGTGGGATTCGTTCGAAAGAATCCTTTTCGGACGTTGTGTTGCATTGTGGTGGTGAGAACTTCTGCGCCCACAAAGTGTTGCTGGCCGCGTCAAGTTCCTTCTTCGAACGACTCATCCTGGGTCTTCCTGCCGACAAGTCGAGCATTCTAGTGATGACTGACATCAGCCCGATTGTCTTCAGTGAGTAGAACCTTAAGCAGATGTTACCTCTCTGCAGACACGGTTCGCTTCTCGAACTTGTCAAACAATTACAACGACTTTTCGATCTCTAAGCACCCTAAGTCAGCTCCTTGGAGTTCTGCGTCGATGTAGAGAAGGCAGCTAAGCCACACGGGAGTTACAGTTTGTCCTACAAAGATTCTACAGTTGAAGAATCGCCGATGCCTGCGAAGAGATTGCGAATGAATGCTGAACTGATCTGTGAATCTTTTCCGATGCCCGCTTCGATCAAGCCAACTGCTGCTCCGTTTTCCAATTTGCCGATGGAGGTACAGTAAAGTTTGTCTTCACATTCTTTGTTCTGAAGAAATGTTCACGAACCTGAGATCTTCTTAAGGTTCTCTTTATGCAAATGTTGCAATTGCTGTGCGTTCCCCCGAGAGTTACACAAAATGGTGGTTGGGCCAAAATCGTTTTTTTTTTTCATTAGGAAAATTTTTTCAGAGGAGTTATTCCATATTATATCACTGTAAAAGCTCTGTGTGAAACAGATACTGCTAAAGAGAGTTTGAGACTCTACCCGTCAAGTCTGTAATGAATTCGATCGTTGTCATTTTCTAATTCCCTTCGATTGTTAGGGAACCGGAAATACCTCGATGATGACCCCAGAAAACACCGCATGTGACTTTTACCTATTGTCTGGAACAGAACCGATGTCGTCAACGGTAATTGAAAATGTCGCGAAGAAAGAAATCGCAGACGGAAGGGATGTTGTAGAAACGTTTCAAACTTACAACCAGGTATTAACATCAGCGCGATTCATTTAATATGCAATGGTTTATTTTATTTTATTTTTTATAAATATCGTCTTCCAGTGTCAACCACGAGAATCAGTCGGAGAAATAGACTATTTCGAAGGAACAGGAATCACCGAATTCGAAGAAAATGTAGACGCCACGAGATCTGACCCGGAAGGTGCGTCAGTTCAAGTACCACCTGCAATTTCCAAAGAAGTGAGTAATTCCTTGCTTTTTTTTCTCTCCGAAACCTTACTTCTAAATTTTCACCTTTTCTGCTGCGATTCGGTGGAATAATGCGAGGTGTGCAAGTTACGTTATATGCAGCATCATAATTGAGTTATGAGGATATGATATATTTGTTGAGCTGCAAAAGAATTATGAAAATTGAAATTTTTCAATTTTTATGATAAATGACGTAAACTTATCTGCTTGAAGGTGTTCTGGTTTCTCTCACCTGATAACTATACAGTACCTTGCTTTCTGAAGTGTCGCCTGAATTACCAATGGTGTTTGATGAAACTAACTTCACTTGACCCAGCTGAAGGAGAGTAATTTAGCGTGATGTTCGCAAAGAAGAAAATCTACGTTAACTGGATCTAACCTCAAGTTCGGGAAACTTCAGGATACGTGTATAATCCAAACAAACAAAAAACCAGAGTTGATGGACATCGGGTCTGTGGTTGAAAACGAACTTTTCCCCGTATTTTTAGTAATTTCCACTTCGGAAAGGAGCAAATCTAGACCCAAATGAATGCTATCTAAAAAAAATCCTCGGGTTCTTGGATTTAGTGTTGCATTGAGAACGACATTCGTTCTGGTTTGCAGATTTTCAGCATTCAAAATTACCTGATATGCATCTAACAAAATTCAGGCGACACATACTTCCTAGCAGAGGAAACCTCCAGCGTTGCGGACATAGTGTTCAGTTACGAAAACATTCGTTAGTTTTCTCAGGATTAGACTTACCGAATGTACTCGAGCACTTCTTTTCTCAAATTCGAGAGGGAAAAAGGGGGTGCGCGACATCTGCGCTTCATAGACGGGTTTACCTTTTTTAAACGTTCTAGAAATTTAGGCGTGCATCATGCAGTAATTGATTTTATAATGGAAAATTTCGGACCGATTTCAATAGATGAACTTGATGTACTGTAATGGAAATGATTGAAAATTAGTTGAATTCAGGATCAAATCATGTTTAAATCCGAAGTTTGGTTCAATTACTTTTGAAAACTTGCAGTTTTAGAGTCGCTGAAGATGGTTTGCGTGTCTTACTGGGGGAATAGAAATCTATTAAAAAATGTTGACTAAAAACCAGTGGTGCGCGCCTTACTTGAGGATGCGTGGTACTCGAGTAAATACAGTAATTGCTTTGTTCGAGACGTTGTAAACTTGAGAATGAAAATGCGTGTTCGATTTCAGGGTTTTCAATTTTTGTTACCTCGTGAATTTCACCTTTTTAAAATTATATATTTTATTTTTTCAGTGGGAACTATTGGAATGGAACAAGAGTGCCCACCTTGTTCGAGCGAGGAAATTAGGCGACGAAGTCATACATTCCATGTGTTCGCTGTGTTGGGGTTACTGGTCCGTCCGCAAGCAGCACGTTGTGCGTCACATTCGCATTCACACAGGTGAGAAGCCGTATGCTTGCGATCTTTGCCCTCGACGCTTCTATCGAAGGGATTTGCTGCGATATCACATCTCCTACGCACACAAGCTACCGCATGTGGCCGATGGAAATGGTTAACCGATGGTTGCGAGAAGCTGTGTTTTAACTTGTAGGTCCTCAAATCGAAACGAAGGTATAAAAAAATCGGAACTGGTCTCGGGCTTTCGGAAACGGGAGGGCATTCCTGGTTGTTTATGGTGTTCTGGTGTTTCAGGTATGAAGCTTGATTTGAACTGGGATCTGGTTGAAGGAAATGAATATACAGTATTTAGTTATGAAACGAACGCGAGCTGTGTTCGATTTTCGTGCTCTCAAAAGAATATTTTCTCAGGCGCCAGTTGACCTAAAGTCTCCTCTCTATTGATGAAGTCGTTGTTGATGTTTTATTGCAATTTGAAAAATAAATCCTCTGCTTATTTTAATCATTATAATCCACGCATTGGGGCATTTTACCTCGAATAAAAGAAATTACAGTACTGTATTCCTTTTTTAAAAGGAAACTATGGGCTATCTGTCGTCTGTGGAATTCATGAGAGCTATTGGAAGTGGGCCAATTGTTTCAATTGTGTAATCGAAGAGTAATGTTGTGTATAAATGCCGATATATTAGATGAGGTGATTTTCCTTCTGCAGGGTCGCGAATTTGCTTGATAACGTTGAATTAAAAAAAATTTCTTTTAATGCGTAAAGAATTAACGGTCTTTTTCAAAATGGCGATTAAGTCGGACGAAGTGTGTGACAATATTGGGAGCATTTGCTCTGGATCATTTTATCCCCGACGTGGTCTTCATTTGTGGGACAAGCGTATGTTTGCTGGAAGTTCTACCAGCCGCTGTCAGTGCGTATTTGCTGGGCTGTATCCAGCAGAAGTCTGTATTTTGGTATTGAATATTGTCTAACGTGGATCTGAAGAATTTGAAGTTCATGAGTGAATCTTCGTTTAGGTGGCGAGTCTGGGCTGAAGGACGAATATTTGATGATCGAATAAACATGAAAAAACTCGGGTCGAAGTATTCTTCACCAAAAATGGGATGCCGAAGAATGCAGGAAATTACATGTTCCTGAGCTGCTTACGTCACGGTCTACCAGCTGTATTTGGAACGAATATTTGTGAGGTAATTTCCGACTACAGCATAACTGTATATACTTCGTAAATTAGATGTCTTTTGTTAACTTGGTGTGCATTGTTGTGTCAATAAAAATAATTTCGCTTCTTTTTTTATAGGATCCGCGCTTCAAGTGAAACGAACAGTATCTGATTTCCGAAGTTTCATCGACGTATTCGAAGATGGCGAGATTTTCCCGCAATGTGAGCGATTGTAAGGATTTCGTTGAAGTACATTATATTTTCCTGATTTTTTTGTTGGGTGAATTAATGAAGAAACGCATAATTGGAGTGTGTTGTGATCTGACTATTAGAAAATGAGTGGTCCCCTTTTTTCTGGAGAGAATTTGCATTTCATCCTACGAATTTTGATGAGTATTCCTCTTTGAACTACTGTACATTTAATTTTTCACGTTTGCGGGAGCTTGAACCATTTCCATTTTGAAGCGAATTTTCCCCCAGAAAACAGCCCCCCGCGCTCTTGATTTATTGTACGAGGGGTTGTACCAAATTTTATGTGGTTGGGCTAAAATTTTAGAAAGAAAATACGTTGTCAATCTGAGACAAATCTCTGCTTACATTCCAGTATAATTTTAATTCATTTGATTATTTTAAAAAATTAAATTTTTTCCAAAAATAATCTTTGGGTATTCCTGATGTTTCTGCGTCTTGGTCTGACATTTCGGAAGAATGTCAGATGAAAAAAAAGATTATTTTGGGAACTCTAAGTGGCTATTATTCTTATATTTTTTAATATGTTTTTCGATTTTATGAATGCAAATACAGTAGGTGAATCTCTATAGAATGAGATATGTTCAGATATGTTCGGCTTATTTTCCCAACACTTAAGTTTGCAGATATCATCCAAGCGCAGAAATTTTAGTGCTGCTCAAATATTTTCTTCGGAATATAGACCTTCTTTTATAAAATTATCCGAGCTATCAAATTTCCACTGTTGTGTAGAAAACATTTAGTCCATGGTTTCAATAGAATTTGTTTCTTTATGAAATCGCAGCCCAACCCAGGATGCCCCTTCGTATAAGCACGGACTTTCTCTGATGCTCTTAGTCTTAGATATTGGAAGATGTGCCGTAAATCTTATCACAAGCACCCCTGTCCGATACCAATGATGCATCATCGGAATTTCTGCAACCATGAAAGGCTCGATGAATTTTCAGAATCGTTTCTATTGCCAATTCTAAACATTGCTGAGAAAAAGATGAAAAAAAATAGAAGGTCGGCGGATAAGAACTACAATATTTATATATTTTTCGTTGAAGGAATGGAATGACGAAGACACAGGGAATACCGCACCTTTTGCTGAAGGTCTTTGTTCACTTGAGGAGATCGTTCTCTGAATCGGAGAAGGTATCGCATCCTTGAGTCATCCAGTGAAGCGACAGAGGAATCGCTATCTTTTTACGTGAATGTTTTCAAGTTTCTACGCTTCCAGAGCTTTGCATTGAGCTAGTGAGAACCGGGCAAGCGGGTAATTCATTTTTTAAATGAATGGAAAAGGGTTGAATTAAAGGGATTATAAATTCATTCAATATTGGAGTGTTAATGTGAGGGGTGCCTAATTTCTGCGCTTAAATTTATCCCCACTTCTTCAGAAACGTCCCTTTCACTTTTATCCTTTTATATTTTAAACCTTCATTCTCTGCAAATTTTCAAAAGATGCATTCTCTTTTTTCGTCCTAAAATTCATGTATTCCACGAATGGTGACTTTTGGATCTGCTTCGCAGAAAATTGCTGCTTCAGCATCTTCGACACTACGAAAAAACCGTTCGCACTTTCGAAGCAATCGAAATTGAGTCGATTCATTGTACCACTTATTGCACTGAGACTTGCGAAAATATTTCAAGTTCGGAATAACTCTCTTATGAAATTTGTGGTCAGTAGTACCGCGGTGCCGAACTTGTTTCTTTTCCGTTATCTTTGCTTTTAAAATTCAATATTCGAAGATGATTGATTCGGGTAATCTTGGATGTTCGTACTTGTACATGAAATATGTAGAATTAATTTAACACCACGGGCACACATAACTCAGCGTAATCCGTGTATGAGAAATGTCTTTTGACACCGTTTTAGGTAAGACTTGTTTTGCAACTGATGGCACATTGAATAAACTGTCCTCATATCGGGTATTTTTTCTAGTCGTTTGAAGTCGAGTCGTATTTTTAAAAAAAAGTTCCGTTTATGGGTTTGTCTCGAATCATGTCCATCGCCAAAACGAAAAGATCTCGATTGGGACAAAGGACAGACATTGTCATTTAATGCGACTGTATTTTTTTCATGTAGAGTTGTTTCTGTAGAAAACCTATGGAGGGCGGAGGCTTTAATTTCAAATGGAGAAACCACGTGAACGAAGTGTTCTCCATTGTGCAGCGAATTCGCGTGCAAGACGCCTTCGCGGACGTGATTCTGCACTGCGGCGGCGGAAACTTTTTCGCGCACAAATTGCTTTTAGCCAGTGTCAGCTCCTTCTTCGAGGATCTATTCACGGGTTTGCCGCGAGATAAATCCAGCGTTCTAGTCCTGACAGACGTTCGCCCGGAAATCCTTAGCGCGATTTTGGATTTCATGTACAACGGGGAGGCGTTCGTGGCGAGCCGAGATTTGAAGGATTTCATGTCCACGGCGGAAAAGCTCGGTGTGCGGGGACTACAGTTGGAGACTGATGTTCCGCAGGAGCCGGAGGATCGGAAGAGAAGAAGGGGGAATGATAAAAATTCAGCATTGAACCCGGGTTCGGGTGAAATCCCGAGCGAACCTGCGAAGAGAGTTCGACTCGCCTCTTCATCGACTGCAGAGTTGGTTTCTCCGACACCGTCTACGACGAATTCAACGACGCCAAACATAACAACGGTTCGTTGCGATGTTTAAATCTGAACTTCGTGTTAAAATTTTTGAACGATTGAAAAATAAACTTCGTTTTAATCCGTTTTGGTTCTCGTCGCTTATAATACCTGACCTGATTTTTCTTTTTGTGTGTGCATTGAATCGAGATTTTACAATCGAATTCTCTGATGGTTTTAATGATTTAATTTTTCAATAGACTCCAACTGAAACAAAAACGAGTTCGAATGCACCAGCTGGGCCTTCGAAGCAACCAATATTCGGGAATGAAGAAGAGGACTTCGACTTCGTAGAGCCCGCTCCTGTGACAGTCGTGAAAGTAGAACAGGATGAACCGACTAAGGAACCCGGAAATGTTGGCGAAGGGGTATGGATATATGATTCTTGCTTTCACCTTGCGTGAAAGATTCACTGCAACATTTATCTTTTAAAGTGGGAAGAGGAAGGTTTTCCAGAAGACGATTTTTACGACGACGCAGCAGAGCTGGGGCAGATAGATGACAAGTTTTATGTTGGCGCCGGAGCTTCGGGATTGCCGGAAAACATTCCTCCAGAACTATCCAAAGATGTCAGTACAGTACTTTTTTATTGGTACTTTCAAACCATGTCCCTGACTTTATAAGCTCTTCGAACTCGCTTGAAGAGTCTGAAGTCGATCCCGTGAAAATACTTATTCACTTTTTTCGTTTAGAAACAAGTTCGTAAATAATTATTTGAAAAAATTTGCGCTCTTTTTCGGAAAAAGGGCGCCGATTTATTTTTGCTTCTTCACGAAATAGTTTCCAAACGCATAATTTAATTTCTTAAATTCAATTTCACCGCTTAAAGCGGCGAGCACCCTGGGAAAGAGAATCGTCCATTTCTTTCATCAGAACCTTCAGCGCATGAGTGAAAACGCTTTTTCGTGAGTCAACTGTTTTCAAAATTATGAGATGTCCTTCAAATGTTCTGTGGATTGAAAAATTTTCAATTCTCAAACTTCGAGGAGAATGCCGAAAGCTTTTATGTGGGATTCATCGCGAATGCTATTCTGTTCGATTCCGAAGTATCCGAGGATCATTATGATATCTTGTGCATTAATTTTCATCACCTCTCGAGGTTGAGCGATTGTGTTTTCTGGTCGATTATAATTTCATCTGCTTGCATTTGTCTTGAGGAATTTTATCTCGGTTGATGAATTTGATATCTAAACCAGCGAGACTTGGTAGAGCTTTGTATCTCTTTACTGGTGGTTGGAATCACTTTTTGATTTCTAGTCTCGTGATTTCAGTTTCCCTGGATGACATGGGACAACCGTCGCCACGTTGTTCGCGCTCAGCGAGAAGAAGATGGACCAAGTGTCTACTTCTGCTCGATTTGTTGGTTGTACAGCTACCATAAGAAGAATTCGGTTGCACGGCATGCCCGTAAGCACACTGGGGAAACACCTTTTCAGTGTGACCAGTGTCATCAGAGTTTTAATCGATCTGACGTGCTTCGCAAGCACGCTAGGAAGATGCACGAAGAAAGAATGTGAATGCAAGAAATTTGACAGCTCGAAAACGGATGATGTTATTTTACCGATGTGACCCTTGTGTAATTTCCATGTCGGACGTGCGCGGTCGAGTATCGTGCTTTCTGGTTGATCTCAGTGTTGTCGAACTTTTTAATGAATATATAACGATGGTTTATGACCTAGTTTGTGTTCGTTTATTCTTCAATGGGTGAGAAACAAGTACCGTACTTGTGGCAACGCTATCTCCGTAGCTTTTGCGGTCGGAAAACGCCCGAATAAAGATTTGCATGAAATTCTCTTGAATGTTTGTTTCAGAATCTCATTCGCGACGATGTGGCTGTACTTTGTTTTTGAAAGGAATACAGATTCTGAGAGTTTAGTGGAGCAAAAGACTGAGAATTGTGGTGACAACTGACAACAGGTATCCTGTCGAAGTCCCGTAAGACTCTCCGTAGAAAGGTCATTCATATTCTTGACTGATAATATTTGAAGAAATCAGCCAAACATGCATCTCGACTCTTGCTCTATACATATGAAAGGGTTTGAATGGTTGTTCAGTGCTTTAGTACGCGTGCTGGCATGTGTCTGATGCTCGTGAAGGCGAATTTAAAGAAGTGGGACTGTGGGAGGCTTGAAAGGTGTAGCAAGGAGATAGGTTCACCCCTTTCATATTCCAGAGAGGCCTCTTGAAAGCTGGTTAAGTGGCGACACCTACGTGATGTACCGTATTCACACGTGCGATGAGGCTTGTGCTGGCTATAGGCTGTTTTCATTTCAGGAAGTCCACGGCGGAGCTGACGAGGAAAGATCGAGATGTGACCAGGGGTTGTAATGTACGTTTGGATTTATCGTGAAACGTTCGCACGCTTATTAGGCCGTTGTCTTCTTGATTACCATCTGTGAAATCGCTTTTTTCTCGTCGAATATTCATGGACGCGTTTGTTTGAGTACTTTACACGACTTTTTGGAGCTATCCTAGTTGGGGGGACCCAGACTACTACCTCCATCTACAAGAAACAGTTGGTACTGTTTCTTTCGCGACATCTATACATCCTTCTGGAAAGTGCCTTCCTCCTACNCAGAGTTTTAATCGATCTGACGTGCTTCGCAAGCACGCTAGGAAGATGCACGAAGAAAGAATGTGAATGCAAGAAATTTGACAGCTCGAAAACGGATGATGTTATTTTACCGATGTGACCCTTGTGTAATTTCCATGTCGGACGTGCGCGGTCGAGTATCGTGCTTTCTGGTTGATCTCAGTGTTGTCGAACTTTTTAATGAATATATAACGATGGTTTATGACCTAGTTTGTGTTCGTTTATTCTTCAATGGGTGAGAAACAAGTACCGTACTTGTGGCAACGCTATCTCCGTAGCTTTTGCGGTTGGAAAACGCCCGAATAAAGATTTGCATGAAATTCTCTTGAATGTTTGTTCCAGAATCTCATTCGCGACGATGTGGCTGTACTTCGTTTTTGAAAGGAATGAAGATTCTAGGAGTTCAGTGGCGCAAAAGACTGAGAATTGTGGTGACAGCTGACTACAGGTATCCTGTCGCAGTCCCGTAAGACTCTCCGTAGAAAGGTAATTCATACTTGTGACGATGATATTTTAAAAAATCAGCCAAACATGGATCTCGACTCTTGCTCAATACATGTGAAAAGGTTTGAATGGTTGTTAAGTGCTGTAGTACGCGTGCTGGGATGTGTCTGATGCTCGTGAAGGCGAATTTGAAGAAGTGGGACTGTGGGAGACTTGAAAGATGTAGCAAGGAGATCGGTTCACCCCTTTCATATTCGAGAGAGGCCTCTTGAAAGCTGGGTAAGTGGCGACACCTACATGATGTACCGTATTCACACGTGCGATGAGGCTTGTGCTGGCTATAGGCTGTTTGGATTTATCGTGAAACGTTCGCACGCCTATTATAGGCCGTTGATTACCATCTGTGAAATCGCTTTTTTTCTCGTCAAATATTCATGGACGCGTTTGTTTGAGTACTTTACACGACTTTTTCATATCAAGAACACTTCGAATCTTAAAATTTGACATGAAGCCAAGAGAGATGTCCTGACTTTGTACAGCGCATTATTTCGCTCACGGTCTTTGCTTCTACGCCTTAATAGACTACCCCTACTGATACAACCGTATGTGCCGATCCGGAAAAGAAAGGCTGCGAAACCGGCTACTTCCGATGAGAGAAGGCCTACGTTGTCGCGGTTTGTCCCGGAAACGACAACTGGCGTGGAACAAATCGATCAGCCAAGTTTATTGGATCAGCATGCTGAGCTGAAGAGATTAGCGGAAGCTCAGGCTGAAACGAAAGTTGAGAAGCAGCTGAAGGAGGAAGAGAAGATTCTCGAAAGCGTCGCTGAGAAACGTGCTTTGATGGCTGTTGGAGAATTAGCGAAGGGAATACAGTATGACACACCTTTAACCACCGGCTGGAAGCCTCCAACATATATATCTGATTTACCCGTGTGTATAAATTTTAGTTGCGGTATTTCGTTGAGACTTCGATGTAATTAGAGATTCGTTTCAGAATTCCTGCCACGACGCACTGCGCAGGAAGCTGAGAATTCTTGTTGAGGGGGAGAACGTTCCACCTCCGATTCGAACCTTTGAGGAGATGAAGTTTCCTGAGCCTATTTTGAGAGGTCTTCGTGAAACGAAAATTGCGGTTCCTTCTCCGATCCAAATTCAGGGTATTCCTGCTGTGTTATCTGGACGAGATATGATCGGGATAGCTTTTACTGGTAGTGGAAAAACGCTGGTTTTCACCCTACCATTGATCATGTTCTGTCTCGAGCAAGAGGTAGGTTCTGTCGTTGATGTCCCGATGGAGTTGAGAAATTTTATTTGAAATGAACTCTTGTTCCAGATGAAAATGCCTTTTCTGAAGGGGGAAGGACCGTATGGTCTCATCGATACGGGCAGAGCACTTAACCGTTTTGTTTGTGTGCTTCACAAGCTTAAGATGCGTAGAGTCAACTTCTCTAGACCGAACGGACTCGACGCGACACGCGCATATTAACCGCCCCTCGGACAGTTAGGCACCAAAGATCTCATCAGGTAAAATTACATCTGCTGTCTTAACTGTTTGTGTCTTACAAGACCTTTGAAAATGTCTGGTATCCGCATGAGAAATGCCCCTATGAGGTAATCCAAAAAAATGTGTGCAATATCAAGAGCATATTGAAATGATCGGGATAGCTCCATGGTTTGAATAAGTTCATGAGTTGAATAAGAGGTGGAACGTTCTCCCCCTCAACAAGAATTCTCAGCTTCCTGCGCAGTGCGTCGTGGCAGGAATTCTGAAACGAATCTCTAATTACATTTGAATAAGTTCAAACCATGAACTGTCTATTCAGAAAGCAGGAGTTCGAAAACATTGTAATTTTTCTTCGTGTGTGCATGCTGGAAAAACTATACCCAGACGTGTGGTGCTTTTTAATTTTGCGTCAAGATTTCAATTTTACGTCTTGGCTGAAGAGTCATGTTTATTTGAAATTGACAGCTTATATCTCGTGAACTCTCCGAAATCATTGGAAAATTGATAATTTAAATCTATTACTGTACGTGACAGTGTCTGGTGATGCAAGATACAGTGAACTTATTGTATTTCTAGAGCAGGAATTCACGTCGCGGTTGCAACTCCGGGTCGGTTGATGGATCTTCTCGACAAGAAAATTCTGTGTCTGGACGTTTGTCGATACCTGT